TTTTCATGAAAAATATTTTTATTTCGTACCAAATAACTTCTTCAATGGAACTCCGACGTTTTCTTTTTGTCATGATGGAGCTCAAGATAAGCAACATAACAAGCAACTTATTATGTACTTATTTCAACCAAAGTTTAACTCATTTTAAGATCAACTAAGGGGTCGTTTATTATTATTATTATTATTATTATTATTATTATTATTATTATTATTATTATTATCATTATTATTACTATTATTATTATTATTATTATTATTATTATTATTATTATATCTAAATTCTTAATTAATCTGTAACTGCCTAATAAAATTATTTTTTGTTGTGTTTCTAACCTGTATAACTACCTAATAAAACTAATTTTTGTTGTGTTTCTAACTAATTGAAAGCTAAATAATTCAAAATGAAGTATAAAACGCCAACTTGACTCATCTTCATTATACCTTCTATGAATTTCCTCAAGAGCGTATTTTAATGAGTGGTACTTGTTATATTTTAGAATTTGAAAATCTAGATTGAATTTAATTTAAAAGAAAATAGCTAAAAGTCTCCTTAAATTATTAGTTATTTTCAACTACACACCTATTCTATTACGAGATTTTTATTGTCCCCTGAACTATTTAAATATGAAATAATCACCTTCCTAAAAGGTCACAATCAATCTTATATTAAAGTTGTGCAACACACACGATAAATTACTGTACATTTATTTTTATAATTCTTTTTTTTCCCCGTAAATTATAAACTTCATCAAAATACTAGTTTAATGATCCCCTAAAATTATGTAAAGTTTCCTTTATTCTTTAGAGTATAATAAGAGCAAAATGAGTAAAAGATCTCTATACCAAATTAAAGAAGAAGAACGATTCCATAACTAGTGTACATAAATTTTCAATTTGAAATCGAATTCAAAAACAAAAATTCACAAATATGGGAGTGAAAAACAAATATGGTAAGAAAGAAATTAGAAAGTGAAATTTTAAATTCACTATTGTTGGTTTATCGTGGTTTGACTTTTTTTATATTAATTATATTTTTACTGAAATTATGAGAAATTCTCTGTTCTTTAGCTTCATATATGAAAGTTTCTTATGAGTTAGGTGACTGTTATAGCTAAAAATGATTGATGTATAATCAATTAAGCATAAATCAATAGCTACAAACTGATTTATAGCTCATAGAGACGAAATTTAGAAGACCACCATTGAAGGACTTTGAGAAAAATTTACAAAAATCATGAAATGGGTATAACAATTTTGTGAAATGAGAAAAGGGAAAAAAATTTTAAAAAATGAATTAATTATATAATCTCCAATTAGAGACTGCCACATGGATTATTTAATTCAATTTTAGTCATTACATGTCTTTTTGTTGAACTCTTACGCGCCTACCATAAAGTGAATACACCTTCTTTTAACAGGTCAGCTTGTAAGGATCACAAAATATCAAAAATAAAAATTCAAAAATAGTAAAATCAATAAAATATAAATGTATAGTTAAAGAATCGATCAATAAATTAAATAGATATTTGATCATTTTATCTTGATTTAATAAGTATAATCGTGAATTTGGAGCTGATTTAACTTTAGGTTAATATTGATGATGCATAATTTTTCACATTATACGATAAGTATGTTTGATACAAAGATAGCACAAAACAGCTGAACCAAATACAGAAAAAGAAGCAAGTAAAAATAACCCGCCGTAAAGTGATGTCACATTCCGGCGCCGAGAATCTCGAAAGTAAAAATCATGAAGGAACAATAACAGTACGCATCATATCTTTGAACTCGAAGAAATCAACGCGACCATCATGATCCTGATCAACTGACGAAATCATCATCTCCACTCTATCAATTTCACTTCCTTCCGGTAATCCCAATTTCTCTAACACCACCTGCAATTCCTTCGCCGATATAAATCCATCCCCGTTCTCGTCAAAAACATCAAACGCTTCTTTCAGATCCAATTCATCCTGTGCCGGATCCGAATTCAACCCGAGCTTATCTTCACATTTTGACCCGAAGAAAACGTCGTTCAGAGATCGATGTAAGGCTTCGAAATCTTCAAATCTAAGACCAGTGTTTTCTGGTTTGATGTATGATTTCACCATCGATTCAATTTCTGATAGATCGGCGTCTAATCCAAGCAGGTTAAGTGCTTGGCTGAGTTCTTCAACGCTGATCAAACAATCGTGATTTCTATCGAACACATCGAAGATCCGACGAAGACGAATAGAATTCAAGCTCGGGCTACGGAGACGGAACGACGATGAGGAAGAAGGCTTGAGTTTTCCCCGGGTAAGACTTTGTTTAAATTCATCCTTACTCTCATCTTGAACTGATCCCATCACACTTGTTTTCGACGATTTTGAAATTAGTATCGTATCTCTTCAAATACTGAGAATAAATATGAGTAAAATAGTTAAAACTTAGATAAGGTAATGGAAACGAAGAAAAATGTGTGTAAATATAGCAGTTAGTCTGCAGAAGCAGTAAACAGTATGGAAGTTGGATTTTGACATATGAAATGATGCATTAAAATTAAAAATGGGAGTAGGCAACGCATGATTAATTAAAGATGCCCGCGCATTTGACTTGTCTCATGTGGTGGTGTTACGCGTATTAATAGAGAACATGGCACAAGTAGTGCCTCATGTTATGTTAATCAATTTTGTTTGTCTAACATGCTAAAGTGATAATAATATTAACAAGATATTTATTATTGTTTTGGTTTTTAATAATTTGTTTTTAATTTAATTAATGAGAAAATGTTTATATAATATCATATACACACGATGGTTATAAAATAAAACTAGTAACAAGAGTAGAAGTGCAATACGAATTTTTATATTTGTATCATTTTTGTTTAAAATAGAAATGATCGAGTTCTTTGGAAAAACTAAAGTTGTGAAAATAATATTAGTTATTTTTCTTTGTCACAATCAAATCTAAAATTGAGAAGAGAGAAAGTAATACTAGTTTGTCGATAGAATAGTGTAGAAAACTAATCCCAGAACACGAACCAGGTTCGTGTAAGTTGCTTTTAAGTAAAGACAGAGTAAAGACACAAACACTTATTGAATTAAAAACCTTCCTCACTCAAGGAAGGAAAAACCTCGTTTTATTAATTCAACTATAAGATTTTGTGATTACAACTCAATAATCAAAAGTCTTATCTCTACTACTCCCTCGATTGACTCCAATCGATCTCTCCAAAAGGCCAAACCCACCTTTTGTTACAACTCTTGCTAACACCCAACCCTACAAAGAGCCAAACCCACCCTTTGTACAATAAACTGTAACTTACAATCAAAACAAAAACAAGACAAATAGTTCTACACGATAAAAACCTTCTCACTCAAGAATGTTTTGACCGTAGCAATCCTATCAATCTTGAAGACCTCAGTTTGATGAATAATTCTCACTTGTTCTCTGCGTGAAGTCGTCGTTTTCTTCATCAGCGTCTTCTTCTTCTTATAGAGTTCCTTTTGCCTTCAGTCCTTATCAGATAAGGTAAGGAAGTTATTATTAAACAAGGATTCCCTTTTAAAGTACAATCCTTATTATATACAACTTCCTTCCTTAATAATATATTTAAGGTTTTCCTTATTTGTATCAACTTATACCTTTAATATATTATTTTTGGCTTTGACAAATAACTCTATTTTCTTGATTACTTGGCTGACCCATTTTACTCGATCTTGGACTCGATCTTGGCTTCTTTTGCTGCGTACATTTGCTATTGATTATTTATGCTTCTTGTCTATCATCAAAACATGAATTATCGGTTCCATCATATTCTATCATATTCCCCCTTTTTGATGAAGACAAACAAATCTTTCTGTGTGATGCATGCGCAAATACTCTTCCCCCTTTTGACGCAGCAAAAAGAATCCAACAGCGGCTAAACAAACACAATCAACATCCATAGCAACAATATAAACTCAGCCAGTTGAGCATAATAAGTTTAAACAACTAAGAGAACCAGGTTCAAAGAAGATGCTTTTTCAATGTGAAGGTTGACCAGGCTTAGTTGAAGTAGAAGCCAGCACATCCAGAACTCTGTCAACTCTTGCATTGTTAGCAAGTTGCTGCTGCACTAACTGACCCTTCAACCTGTGAATTTCAGCATTTGAAGTGTCAAGTTCAGCACGTAACTTTTGATTTTCTGACTCAAGAGTGGCATACTTTCTTCAGCTACTTTGAGTTCCCTGAGTAACTGAGCAACAGGACCAGATGTACGTGGAGAAGCATTTGCAACCTGCTCCGACTCCATGGGAATTCCACACTCAGCAAGAATGGTTTGACTGAACATATCTACATGAATTAAAATAAACCCACCCTTTGGTAACTCAAATGCATCAAACACTCTAGTTAACAGATTTCCAAAACCTTCAATTCTTTGTCATCCATCAAAACTACAAACTTCATGTTTTCTCATTTCCCAAGAATTTTCCCCTTTTTGATGATGACAAACTATGCATATGTCTATCCACATTATATAATTTCCCCCTTTTGGCATCATTGAAAATCAATAACCAAAGAACTCGAATAACATTCAATGAGTGCAATATCATTTTTAACTCATAGCCACTTGGGCAACACTTTCAAGTACACTTCTGCTAACAAAATGGTTAGTTAATCTGATGATATTAGTCATCTTACACTCATACACAATTAAGATCTTCAATGAGAAACGAAATAAACAAATATGTACCAGTTTATGCCCTTAATCAAAAACATATAATATCATGAGTATGAGACAGACATAAGCACTTCAAAGAGTCAAAAAAGTATAAAATTTGAGGATAAAGATTGTGACAAAGATTACTAAAGTGAGGAAGAAAGGGATGTTTACTGCCATTGATAATTTTATTTTTTTTCAGTATGCCCATTGTGCACCAGCTTCTTTATTCTGATCACCTTTTTTTTTCTTTTTCTTTTTTTAACTCTACTCCGTAACATTTTCATTCCTCCATGATTTTCTTCCTTTTTTTTTTATAGCCTTTTTCTTGATGACAACTTTGAAGGAGTACCAACTACCAGTAAGAGATTCATCACATTTTGGTGCACAAAGAGATGTGTTTATCAATAATGATAGCAAGCAACAATTTATTTCTGTGAGAATTGTTCCCCCTGAGAGATAGACAAGTTATACACTTGGAATGGATGAAATATCAATTTTGGAGTTTATGAAGCTGGTTCAGATGTGGATGGTAAAGCAAGGTTCCCCCTAAATTAAAGCATGAGTTACTTCAATACTGAGATTTTAGTCATTAGAGCAGTTTGGGATTGAACGATACTTATTGTCAAAGAGGGTTCTTGGTGATTTTTAAGAAAGTTGAATTTTTGATGATTGACCAGGTTCATTAGTGCTTATGTTTGACCCAAACTCAAGAAATTAATGCAATGAAAAAGGATGGTACATACCCGAGTATTACAGAGAAACCAGGTTCCCCCCTTTTTTTTGTGTGTTTCTTCATGATTTACTTAATGGTGTTAGCAAAGAGTAGAGATAACATCCGCAAACTTTCTAAGCATTGTTTGAGATGTGACTTGAGTGTGTACCTGTTACAGTACGAGGTTGAGTTAGCAGATATTCATTGTATAATTACTCAAGCGTAAGATTATTCTTTTACTAGCCAATTATTAAAGAAAATCATGATAATGCATCAACTTGTTTCGATAACACCATGCTTTGACTGATTTTTCTCAAGTTCTTCATATTCAAGGCCTTCACAAGAATGTCGCATCATCATATTCTCCCAGATCAAATGAATCTCAAGCTGATTCACAGAGAACCAACCCTTGTCAATTTTTAATACCTTCCAATGAACAACAAGGACCATGTTCACACAACAAAGTTCCCCCAAAGGTGTGTCATACTCTTACTGTCTCGATTGCTCTAATATTCCCCCAATCTCCAGAACCATAGATAAGTAGTAATTCATGTTGCAGGTGCATCAATGATTGTTAGCTGTGAACCAGGTTCATATGCAGTGTTCCCTAAATTTGCATCATCAAAGATGTTTGATATCATGTCACTTTCTTCAACCCTTTTTTTTTCATTTTTCTCATCCTTTTCAAGGAATAAACTGCCTCCTTGAAAATCAAAGAGCGAGAGGAATTTTCTACCATTTTTAGCACCATTTTGGAGCATGCACTATTCATGTACCAAGTTGGCCTTTTCCCTCTCACCTTCACCTGAAACACTAGTCAAAGATTAGTCTTGGGAACCCAGATTAGCTTGGGCCCCTTTATGTGAGTAAAAGGATGAATAAGATTTCTTCTAGCCCATAAAGGCAAATAAGAAAACCTTTTATTTGGAGCATTTTTATTTCGAACCAGGTTCTTAGCCGTATCAATCTTTTCCTTTTTGGTGAACTTAACATTTTCCTGAAAAGCCTCAAATAAAGCTTTACATTGATTCTTTAAATGACCTGAGTTTCCACAATGAGTGCATAAACTTTTAGACATGTGAATAGTGTGTGACACAAGATTATTCTGTTTTTTAAAACCTATCCCACTTCGACTAGTTGTTTGCTTTTCTTGAATCTGAGTTAAAATTTCAGAGGACCTGGTCCATCTAAGATTTCTTTCCAGATCCAGTTTGGTATGATCAAGATTTTCTTGTAACAACCTATTCCTTTCTGTTAAAGCTTGATATTTTATGGTTAACAATTTTAGTTTTTCTTCTAGAGCTAATTGAAGTTCACTAGCAGAGTTTTTGCCCTTGTGACTTAACTCTAAGGTTTTAATCTGTTCTTTTAATTTATTTTGAAGAAAGTGATTGTGTTTCTCAAGATTGTCATTGACTTCTCTTAAAGATGCATAGTTTTCCATCACTTGTTCTCTTTCAGAATTGACAGACTGATATGCATCTATAAGAGTACTCAATAAGGACTCTAGTTCCTTTTTAGAATATGATTCAATATTTACTTTGATGTGATGAAAACTTACCTTGCTTTGATTGTCATCTTCTTCATCATCTTCATATTCTGATCCAGCCATGAGTGCTAGTATAGTTTCTTGTGATCTGCAGGTTTCCTTTTCTTCCTTGGTTTCCACTGCTACAAGGGCAAGAAAGTCATAATCATCTTCTTGTTCTAGTGCAAGAAGAGACTGATTTTCTGTCTCATCACCCTCAAACTCTTCATCAAATGAATTTCCCATTGCTGCAAAGGCCCTCTTCATTGACATATCTGCCTCTTGAGTTGTCATTCTTCTGTTTGAGGGGACAGATTTATCCTTTTTGATGTCTTTGCCCTTCTCAAAGTTTGCCTTTTTCTGCTCTAAGGCCCAAAGTGGACAGAATTTGATGAAGTGATCTGGACTCCCACACTTATGACAAACCTGGTCTTTAGTGTTTTCAGATGGTTTTTGAAAAGCTTTCTTTTGAAAGGTCTACCCTCTTTTTAGCATTCTAGTGAACCTTTTAGTTATGAGGGCAATATTTTCATCTTCAAAATAATCTGATGCAGTAGCCTTTAGAACCAGGTTCCTTTCCTTTCTTTTTCCTCCAATTTCCTTTTCTTGGTTTTTCTTAAGTTCGTATGTGATGAGATTACCAATTAACTCATCCATTCCCAGTGAGTCTAGGTCGCGGGCTTCAATGATAGCCTCGACTTTGCTTTCCCAAGTTTCAGGAAGGACACTCAAGAGTTTCCTTACTGCTTTTCCGTTAGGCACTATCTCTCCTAAAGAGTACATCTCATTGATGATGGAGGTGAACCTGGTGTGCATGTCTTGAATAGTCTCTCCTTCTGCCATCCTGAACAGCTCATATTGCCTGTTCAAGTTATCAATTTTAGACTTCTTGACTTGCGTTGTTCCCTCATGAGCTGTTTGCAGTGTTTCCCATATGGCTTTGGCATCTTGACATGACTAGATTCGATTGTATTCATCTGGTCCTATGCCACATATCAGAATTTTCTTGGCTTTGGCATTGTTTTGCATTGCAAGCTTGTCTTTAACATTCCATTCTTTTCTTTCCTTTGGGATTTTGGTGATTCCATCAGTTGCGGTTTTCATAGGTATGGTTGGGCCATCTAGAATTACTCCCCATAGATCAGGGTTTTCGCCAATAAGATGGTTCATCATACGATTTTTCCACCATCCATAATATTTGCCATTGAACAGTGGTGGTCGTGTTTGTGAAGCTCCCTCTTGTGGGGTAGATGATGCTGCCATTGAGTCTTTTCAAGGTGTGAATCTTTTAACGAAAAGACCTGCTCTGATACCAATTGTAGAAAACTAACCCCAGAACACGAACCAGGTTCGTGTAAGTTGATTTTAAGTAAAGACAGAGTAAAGACACAAACACTTATTGAATTAAAAACCTTCCTCACTCAAGGAAGGAAAAACCTCGTTTTATTAATTCAACTATAAGATTTTGTGATTACAACTCAATAATCAAAAGTCTTATCTCTACTACTCCCTCGATTGACTCCAATCGATCTCTCCAAAAGGCCAAACCCACCTTTTGTTACAACTCTTGCTAACACCCAACCCTACAAAGAGCCAAACCCACCCTTTATACAATAAACTGTAACTTATAATCAAAACAAAAACAAGACAAATAGTTCTACGCGATAAAAACCTTCTCACTCAAGAATGTTTTGACCGTAGCAATCCTATCAATCTTGAAGACCTCAGTTTGATGAATAATTCTCTCTTGTTCTCTACGTGAAGTCGTCGTTTTCTTCATCAGCGTCTTCTTCTTCTTATAGAGTTCCTTTTGCCTTCAGTCCTTATCAGATAAGGTAAGGAAGTTATTATTAAACAAGGATTCCCTTTTAAAGTACAATCCTTATTATATACAACTTCCTTCCTTAATAATATATTTAAGGTTTTTCGTATTTGTATCAACTTATACCTTTAATATATTATTTTTGGCTTTGACAAATAACTCTATTTTCTTGATTACTTGCCTGACCCATTTTACTCGATCTTAGCTTCTTTTGCTGCGTACATTTGCTATTGATTATTTATGCTTCTTGTCTATCATCAAAACATGAATTATCGGTTCCATCATATTCTATCATATTCCCCCTTTTTGATGAAGACAAACAAATCTTTCTGTGTGATGCATGCGCAAATACTCTTCCCCCTTTTGACGCAGCAAAAAGAATCCAACAGCGGCTAAACAAACACAATCAACATCCATAGCAACAATATAAGATCAGCCAGTTGAGCATAATAAGTTTAAACAACTAAGAGAACCAGGTTCAAAGAAGATGCTTTTTCAATGTGAAGGTTGACCAGGCTTAGTTGAAGCAGAAGCCAGCATATCCAGAACTCTGTCAACTCTTGCATTGTTAGCAAGTTGTTGCTGCACTAACTGACCCTTCAACCTGTGAATTTCAGCATTTGAAGTGTCAAGTTCAGCACGTAACTTTTGATTTTCTGACTCAAGAGTGGCATACTTTCTTCAGCTACTTTGAGTTCCCTGAGTAACTGAGCAACAGGACCAGATGTACGTGGAGAAGCATTTGCAACCTGCTCCGACTCCATGGGAATTCCACACTCAGCAAGAATGGTTTGACTGAACATATCTGCATGAGTTAAAATAAACCCACCCTTTGGTAACTCAAATGCATCAAACACTCTAGTTAACAGATTTCCAAAACCTTCAATTCTTTGTCATCCATCAAAACTACAAACTTCATGGTTTCTCATTTCCCAAGAAATAGAAAAGGTGTTTGTAATATATTGAAGAGAGGCTAGTTCATGTTTCTTACGGTTGAAAATAATACTAAAATTTAGAGAATAAGGTTGGTAAAATATTTAAGGCATGGTTATATAACTAGGAGTAAGATAATAATTTTAATATATATAACTTAGTGCATGATCGATTTAATCAAAATCATAAAACAAAAAAATTGAACATATAACACTTCGAGATATAGCGACATGGATGAAGTTGAGACTTGCCTCTGGAGTCTTGTGTCATAAGAAGGTAACACCTAAACTTGAAGGTAAGTTTTACAAAGTGGTGGTTAGACCGTCCTTGTTGTATGGAGTGGAATGTTGGCCAGTCAAGAACTCACATGTTTAGAAGATGCATGTTGTGGAGATCAGTGGCGTAGCCACATTATGTGAAGGGTGTCCAATTCGTCGGGAAAAAATAGCATGTATACAAGTAAAATGATACACAAAATGATTAAATAACCTATTTTGGACACCCTTAAAATAACAAGTTGCTATTTTTGGACACCCTTTAGAAAATTTCTAGCTCCATCGCTGGTGGAGATGGTGATGTTAAGATGGATGTGTCGGAATATTTATATTAGGAGTGAAAAGATGAGGAATAAGGTTATCCGAGAGAAGTGGGAGTGGCATATGTGATGAAAAGATGAGGGAAGTGAGGTTGAGATGGTTTGGGCATGTGTAAAGGAGGTGTGTTAACACCCTAGAGAAGAGGTGTGAGAGGCTAGTTGTACGGGTACTTAGAGGGTAGAGGTAGGCCGAAGAAAAATTGAGATGAGGGGATTAAACAAAACATGATACAACTTCATATTTCTGAGAACATGAGTTTAGATAGGAAAGAGCGAAGGTTGCGTATTATGATAGATGGTTAGTTAGGGTGGAGGGTTGTCATGTCGTGGTTGATTTTGGCTTGTTGGTGCATGTCATAATACTTATCGTACTTTTGTAGTTCTTGTTGTATGTTGCGTACTGTGCTTTCAATTACCACTCTATCTTTTTGATTGTTATTGTTTGTTTCTTTCTTTTAGATTATATCCTACTTTTCTTATTAATGGTTATGCTTTCTTAATTACTTTCTTTGTATTTTACTTGGATTCGATGCACTTTAATTTTGGAAATAGTTTTTCTACTCCTCGAGGTAGTGGTAAGGTCTGCGTACATTTTATCCTCGTCAAACTCCACTTTATGAGATTTCATGGGGTATATTATTGTTGATTAACTTCAACTTTTCACATGATATGTTTAAAAATATAAAATCAAAGGACGTTTTGATACATTTAACATTTCTTTTAATATACGACGGCAAGATTCAATCTCTTTTAATGTAATTCAAACATGACAAGTATAAGACATAACTAATACTAAACGTACATTAATTAATAAACATAGTGCGATAAAATAGTTATATTAATCAATAATTATTTAATAATCTATTGAGTTCAAATATGACAAATAAAAATAAATCGATATTATTTTTCTTATTATAGGTAACAAGGTGGGTGAGGGGTGGCTTATAGTCGTAGTCTCCTAGAAGTGTTTTTTTTTTTTGGGTCCTAACCTTTGAAAAATACTAAGAAAGGAGTAAGTCAGCGATTGACCTTATCAATGTAATTACCTTTGAATTCTTCGATGGCGTGCACCAATGCCAAAATAACAAGCATATGCTTTTCTTGGAATCATTTGACATTTCATTATTCATTTAGGGGGGGAAAATTGATCAAAATAGTTGGTAAGAATTTAGGATATTTTTCTATGTTACACGTTTTAAAAATAATAATTTAATTAGCTAATTTTTATTATTCAATTTAATATTATCATATTAATCTCTTTGCTTATTTATTCAAAGAAATAAAGATGAAAATAAATAATTAAAATTATAATTTAGGTTGAATCAATTATTTTTATTAAGCACGATAGTTAAAACATGATGAAAGGGATTGTCTTCCTACTTTAATTGTGATGTTTAATAAGGCATTCTTTTTTGTTTGTATTGATGATATTGACAGATTCAAAATTTGAAATAAAACACGGACCTCAAACATATTTATACATCATTTGAATCCTAAATTCAATTCTTATACGTATTTGATAAAATTTTCAATATATATACCTAATTTAGGCTAAAGTTATACTGAATTCTATTGAACTGTATCTTGAAGCCAACCTTGCCCCTAATTGTAGAATTTTGGGGGCATATAGCTTTAACCTAACTCATGTATTCATTTAATAAAAATAAAGAACCCATAACAACGTTAAAATTCAAAACTTATAAATTTCAAATTCTAAATATGTCTCCCGTACATTCCACCTATAACTTAATCTTAGAGTGACAAGATTGGTTAGCAAGAGTTCCATTGCGTATATCCAAGGACAAATCACATTTAGAGGAAACTTTGAACTTGATTTTAAACAACACATTTAGTTTTACTTTGCCCTTCAATTTCACGTAAAGAGTTAATTGCAACATCCCCTTTTCAACTACGTCAGAAAATAAATTAGGATTCGACGAAATCTTATCCGCCATAATCATCAACGTGAAATTCATCGTTGTCGTGGTCCGTGCCCCGATGTTCCCCGCCGGGATGTGAACATCTCCGATTTCTTGGCCTCCATATTCAATATAAGGGTTGATGTCTTCGTATTGAAAACTAACCCTAATGACAGAATGGATGTGTGTTAGAAGTTAGTTCTGACTGAAAATTATTATTTTTCAAATCATATGGTCATTATGTAGTAATCTAGTGAAAAAAATGATGGTAATTATTGTTCTAGTATATCAATTAAATTTCATTTTTAAAAAAATTTATAGTGTTTGTGTGTAGTATAAGTTATTGCACTTCTACAAATTAAATATCGATAAGTTCTAATTACTTCCTTGTAATATTTCGTTAAGCAAATTTAATGCTGAATTAATTTGGATATGAAAAAAAATTAACTTCATCTATTCAAACAAAGTATTGGTTGTTAAACCATTGATTAATCGTGTATATTGTGCTCAATTGGATTGTTACTCTATATTTAGAAGATAATATAGTTTGAACAACAACTTAGATATGATATATTTATGTAAAGGAATCTAAAATGCATATTTTAGTTAATTCAAGGTTAACTACTTGCAAAGACCAAAGTCATAATTTATTAAGTACTCCCTCTCATGGTTATTTGGTGTTTGACTTGGTATATTTCTTAAAAAGCTATAAATAAAATTATAATTTTATTATATTGTCCCTAATTACTGTAAGTCATCTCACTAATTTCTAAATGAATTGAAAATAATTGATATTTAACAATAAGTGTAAAATAAGTATAAAATGGTAATATCCTTTCTTGGTTTTTTAAATTGAACAAGTAAAAATAAATGAAGTAATAGGTAAAATTTAAAAATTCAAAACCTCAAATACTTCCTTCCACTAAAATAAAAATGATGATTAGCGGTAATTAATTCTTAATTGCTGTTAAATATGTATTTTTAGCGGCAATTGACACTTTTTGTATATGTCCCTAAAGCCTTTAGCTATAGTGGTTCTAATGACACTTAATTAATGTCGGTAAAGATTTTAGCATTCTCTATTAGTTTCAATATTTAATGTTGCCAAAAGTTATTTTTTTTAATAGTATTTTTGTCTATATGTGTGATGAAATTGACCTACAAAGTACTATAAAAATTAAAACTAACAAATTCAAAATATCAAACTCAATAAAATTCAAATCATAAATTTGTCTCTACCTGTTAGGGTTCTCAATAGAGACACTTCCATTCATGGTGACGTTGAAGTTGACCTTGAACCTGGCCGCGTCGACAGACACGGCCAGGTCCTCGAGAGTGATGGAATTGAGGGTGATTGTAGGGCGTTTGGGCTTAAAAACAGTGAAATTCAAGATAGTATAGGTTATAATAACAAGCATATAGGCACATAGAATAAACATACATATTTTCTTTTTTCTCTTGTGTCTTCGCTTGTACTTACAATCCTCAACATTATATGATGTATTTTCTCTAACGTTTGATGATGATTCCATTTCCATCTCTATAATTCTCCTACTACTATTGGTACGTTCTAGCATTTTTTGTATAGATAGATGATGGATTGTGTAGTATATATTAGTGTTATATTTATAACTTGAGGCTCTAGAAAAGTAGGTTAGAGTCTAGCTACTTATTCTTTGTTTTCATTTTACTTGGCTTTTATAGAGAAAATATGTAGATGTTTTCCTTTACTTGTTAATATAGCAAATAAAGAGAGTTTTAATACTCCTTCTATCTTAATTATATAATATAGTTTTACTTGATATGAATTTCATAAAGAGAGTTTTAATACTCCATTCTATCTTAATTATACGATAAAGTTTAACTTGATACGAATTTTAAAAAAAAAATTTAAAAAAGTTATGATGTAAATTAAAATAAATCAGATGCTAGTATGATTCACTATGAATCATTTTATCACGAGTTAAATAAATATTTTAAAATTAAATTATTACTTAATATATAAATAGAATTGAATAAAAATAAAAATCATATAAATTTTGACAAGCAGAGTACCTAAATAACTTTATAAAATAGTAATAGTCAAACTTAGAGCTCCAAAGAATCATTAATAAGGTTTGATTTTAAAAAAATACACTTTTAATTAAAATTTTCTTAAAAATATGTCAAATCGATACCGTCTAAGTTAGAAAGGGGTACTAATCCATCCCGTCCAAACTAATGAAATTCTGATACTTTTTCTATGATGCAAAATAAATAGATTATTAAAAGTTTAAAAATGTTTTAATTTATTTAATTTTTTAAAGATTGCCCTTCTCTTTAATGGAATTTTCAACTATCTGTAGCTTCAAAGAAGACTTTGTGAAGAAGTAAAGGGTATATTGCCAAATTATCTTCTAATAATGTCACTAAACTAACTTTTTTAAAAATTTACGTCACACCATAAAAGTTCATTTATTTTGAATAGATAAATTGATTAATTAATTATTCAACGCGTAACAATTAATGCTTTTAGCTTTTTTAATTTCATACTCTAACTTTTCTAGAATGTGTCACATTTAATTTGCAATTTCTGGCTGGTCCTTTATGACAAAGACAAACACATTGAGAGGAAGAGTGTGTCCCATGTTGCTTTTCCTCTTTTTTTTCCCTAAAATATTTCTTGATAATATCGATAAATTAATATTTATTAATTTTAAAAATATGCTTTAGATTCAATAACTATTACTTTTAAGTATACTGTCTAACAGATAAAATCTCAAAGAATTTAAATAACATTTTTTTGAAAAGTGATATCATAAATTTGAGGTTATGATTAATAATCTCGATTATTCAAAAAAAGATTATCCATCAAAGTGATATCTTAAGGAAAATAATTTTCTTTTCTCCCGAGAAATACTCTTTCCGTTCTTATATAGTTGTCCATTTTAGAAATAACACATATATTAAGATAGCAATAATTAGCATAGTGAAGTTATAATATTACCCTTATTAATTATGATTTCAAAATGAGATAAATTAAATCTTGGAATTTTTCAAAAAGTTTAAATGACGGCATAACAGAAGAAAAAAATTGTTCTTTTTCCATTTGTCAAAATGAACAAGTAAATAGAGACAACTAAAAAGAAAATATGGACAAGTAAATAGGAAGATTAATAAATGTTTTAATTATAGGAAACAACTTTAGTATAATGATGAGTTAGATATGATATTTCTGCAAACCCTTCACACATCTAATCAATTAAACTTATTAAAAATGATATTAACAGAGTGGCTGGGTGTTAATTCAGTCGATTTTTATATATGAAAGGGAGAAGTTACTACTACATACTCTACTCCATCTAGTTGGTGCACTAGATGTATATGTGATGCTAACTAGTTTTAGTAAGGTGTAACTCTATGGCCTAGGGGATTAGATAAAGCTATAACTCCTTTTTCCTCACATCTCGATGACATTTATTGGGGTTGGTTTCCTGGTTGATATCTGTATTGAAATCTAACTAAATTTAAATTTGTGTTGAAAAATTATACGTTTTAACACAGACAATTTTGTATCTAGGAGGATTTGAACACGATACTTCTATTTAAGAATAAAAGGGTATGTATCACTCCAGAACCTATCTAGACATACTTCAGTGTCATTTTCACACATTATCCTATCTTGTTTTGAAATATTACATATAGTACTAATTTCTAATAATTATACCATTATATTTACAAAGTTAAATCAGATATGCAATCCAACAACCCGTTTGTATCTCAGTTCTCACCCTCACTCTCAAATAATAATGTACTATAGATACATGAAAAAAAAACTGTCATAATTTTAGAGTGTGTATGTCGAATAAATTGCTAAATGTAACGATCTAATGTTTAAGAGAAACGAATGTTGTAGCATGTATATTTTGTTAAAATTAACGGTGGCATATTTAAGAGTAATAATTGGTGTAGCATGTATAATTTGTTTGGCATGTATCTCGGAATCGTATCTGACCTCGAGACCTAACCCTAGCACTAACTCAGCCCAAGACCCCAACTCGAGACCTGATCCCAACACAAGATCGGCCCTAACCCTGACTCCGACCTCTACTGACACCCTAACCTACCCAACCCCCACCCTCAATCCAAAATTCAACCTCTAAATCTAATTCAAGATTCGGTTCAAATCTAAAACTCAAGAGTTGGATCTCAAATTGAGGTTGAGAGTTGGTTTTCAAATAGTATTGAGAATCAATAAACAATTTATGTTCGGAAGAAAAGTTGAGGTGTGAAGTTTAACGTGAATTTAGACAATGTTTCCTTATTTTTTTAAAAGGAAGTCACTACTTAAATTTGAGGAAAAAATAGATTAAATATCATTTTCTAGAAAACATTTTAGTTCATACCATATAAACCTTTTTGTACTTTAATCATCACTCAAGAGAAGATAAACCTTTTTGTTTCCTCAAAACATTGTAATAATACACTAAACTTGACTGCAAAACAGGCCTTCTTACAGGTGATCTTTTAGAAATACATTAGAAGAGCTAGAACAATACAGTGAAATATGAAAGTGACAAGATTAACATGGCAAATTTCAAATCACCAAGACGATGATATCCTCATTCATGGACTGAGAATGTACTTAAACAAGTGATGCAAGTGAGCATCCTCAGAATTGAGACTTGTCCAAGCTGTCAAAGTATGGATGATCAAGTGCAGCTTTCGCAGAAATCCTATCTGATGGATCAAATTTGAGCATTTTCTACAATGACCAAACACATAACAGCATTATTTCCTTAGTTCTAGCAAAGAAGAGGTAGAACTAGAAAAAAATAACTTGAAAGTATTACAGATGAGATGGGGATTTACCGTTAGGAGGTCGACACCATCAGGTCCCAATGCTGGAACAGCAGAGGCCAAGTTCTGAGGCTCCCATTGTGGATAAACATGCCAGTCGCGGAGTGAACTCACTCCAGGCCACTGCTTATCAGTTGGAGTTCCTAACAACCTTCACCAATTGCACAAACGTATTTATAATATAATCAATTTGCTTGCCTAAGCAAGTTCATCAAAACAAAATAGTATGTTGTAATACTTAAAAATTCAGTTTCTTGAGATTTAATTAGTTTTAGTACTAGAAACTTGATTATTGCCTTCAAAATATCAGATGTAAAACCTCAAATGTCGAATGTTTTAACCTATGTGGTTCTTTTTGTGTTATCCCTTCTAAAAAACTGCTTTTATGGACAGCATATTTTCCCGGATAGGAATGAAAAATCCTCCTGTTAACATGAATCTAGTTTTCATTTCATCAGGGGAAAAGCAATATATAGGTAAGAATGTCGTAACAACTCAATCCTTGAGCCTGAACAACTTTTAGAAAGACAGTCTAGCATCAAGGAGGCAGTTGGTGTCATTAGATAACATATTAACCACTAACTAATACCTCAAAAATCATATGTGGAACACATAATTGAAAATCCAATAATTTTGCCACAATAGTCATCAGTAGCCAACCCTGAGGTGTTTGTTACTAATTAAAGAACAATTGCACAAAGCAGAAAAACACAAAGAACTTAACAACTGATCATAGACATACCTGAATATGTGAAGCAATTGCTGGAACTCAGAGTCACCAGGAAATAAGGCTTGCCTTCTAACCATCTCGGCTACATCACATAGAGAAGACAAATTAAAACAACCTACCTTAAAGTGAGTGCATTTAACCAGGCAATATAGTTTGTCTTCAACATCTAGGCCAATCCCTAGAGGAGCTAAAAGAATATTCTTTCTTGTGACCATTTCTTTGCCAATGTTAACACATACTCAGAAATTGAAAATTATCCACAATTGGTGATTTCCATTTGGCCTGAACTCTTGGTACAATTAGAATGCATTTTCAATTTCCATGGAAGTGCTCGACAAGAATTTATTCTGCAATATTACTTCGCTTGTACGACACAAAAAATATTGATGGTATAAGTCTTCATTGATAAGATTGTAGTTTAACTCAAGTTTTTTATAAGAACTTCTAGAGATGTAACCTATGTTGTCAAAGGCAACAAGCAGTGAACAAGCATATTACAGCTTGTAAGGTCTGCCAGAGCTTTAAGTGCAAAACACAATTAAGGCATGGTTGTGATCTCTTGTTAGGAATGACTATAAGCATCAATCAATAACTACATGAACAAAGTAATTAGATAAAAACAACAAGTGGAACATACGAAGTGAAAATATGTATATTAAGTCCAAAAGCCAATCTAAAGTTTTAAATCTCAAAGCTCCGTTGTGTTTATAACAGTAAGAAATGTATTCATAACACTTTTTAACAGTTAAAAACTGTCTTTTTCCAGTTATATTTATTGTTCAGTGCCATCCACTAATAAAAGAGCCCATGTCTATACACCTTATAGCCGTGATCACTGCACTCAAGAAGATCCCAAGCCTAAGCTTCTCACGATTTAAGAGCTTAAGCGTGCCTCGCATGAACCTTCACTAACAATGTGAACATTTCCTAGTATATCCATCCTGGTGCTTTTCAGCCACCCTAGCAGATGTACCAATTTTCAAGAGAACACCGCTGAGATCTAAAAGTTCGTTTAATACCTAAGCTATGTTAAAAGCAACCCAAAGTCCTTCATCATTTTATCCAAATGTGATACTAAAGAACATAAACTGCCCAAATCCATCTTCTCCTGAAAAATTCCAACCGAGATATGACATTTTACACCACCATCCTACAAAACTAATATGTTCTACTTAATATTAGAACAAAATTATGTCTTGACTGAATTTCAAATCAATTACGAACAGTATTGTCAAATTATCAGATCATAAACATATCAAACGATGTGTGCAATAACTAGTCAATGGAAGAAAAGGCTAAAACTTTGGTATAATTCAAAGCAACAGACAACATGTAAACTGTAAAGAGTTAAAAAAACATTTCAACTTAAAGAATCAAACCAGCAATTTGGCCTAGCAGAGTAAACAACATTGATCAACTCAAACAAACTTACCAAAAATACATCCCACAGACCACATATCAACAGCAGTTGAGTAATGAGTAGATCCCAACAAAACTTCAGGAGCTCTGTACCATAGAGTAACAATCTGAACAAACGCAAGTGAGTTATTCCACAAGCAACAATCTTCACTTTCTATATCATTCTGATGATTTTATATGGCAATTCCAGTATTGAGAAATGAAAAAGCTATTAACCTCATGGGTGTAGCTCTTCATAGGAACAGTAAACGCCCTTCCAAGCCCCAGATCAGCAATCTTAAGTATTCCCTTCTCTTTATCCACTAGAAGATTCTGCGGCTTCAAATCTCTGAGCATAAAATTAAAAAGGGTCGATTAACACTGAGTAAATTGACCAGAATTTACACTAACCTAATCATGGCTAAGTTAGACCTGTGGAGAACTCCATGGCTATGGCAGTGAGCAACCCCTTTGCACAATTGAAACAAAAAACTCTGCCCCAAATACGCAAACATCATTATCAAACAAATGGGTGAGCACAAACACAGAAAAAGAAAGATGGGTTTTGCATAAACCTGGATGAGGGCAGTAGGAAGAGCCCTAGCATTAGGTCCTTTCCGATGAGAATCAATGAATTTCTTAAGATCAGTATCCAAATACTCAAAAACAAGATAAAGAATTGGTTTCCCATTTTTGTCAATATGTTCAACACAAAGCAAACGGACGATGTAGAGAGAATGAGATAGCATTTGAAGAAGTGAGATCTCTCTGAGAGCAGTAGGCGGTATCCCTTCTTCATCCATTTCAAGACGAGTCTTCTTCAAAGCCACCAATTGTCCGGTAGCCTTGTCCTTTGCTTTGTACACTTTTCCATAGGTTCCTTCACCTACCTTCTCCAATTTCTCGTATTTCTCCATTGATGATGAAGCTTGATTGATTGGTTTAGCAGATCTTAAGGAAAGAGAAAGAGAAAGGGGAGCGTAAAGCAAACAGAGAAGGTTTTCCCCCTCTTCGTTTTGAATTTCAAATTGCTACAAATGCTACCGCCTACCATAAATAATGTTGACTAATTCACTTAAATTGATTCAAAAATAATGTTATTAGTTTATTGTTTTATACAAAAAAAAAAAAATATTGCGTTATTCGTTCGGTTTTTAGTTTTTAAATATTACTAGGTTATTGAATAAATTGATAAATCATCAAGATTATACTATTTAATTAGTTATTATAGCTATAATTTGTTATAATTATCACTCGTGACTAATATTAATCATTAATTACGTAACCTAACTTCGAGTTTGTATAATTAGTCACGTTTGTATAATTCACCATCACATTTGTATAAGTCGCAACTAGCAATTCTTCGTTTGATTTGTATTTGTATACGATGGTTTTATTTGGATATGATGATTTCCTTTGGTTTTGCAGTTTTATCACCATATACATTCAATCTTTTTGTGTATAACTTTTAAAAGTCTGTTTAAATGTGTAGTTTTCAAATTTTGTATAATATAATTTATATTATGTAATTTGTATAATATAATTTGTATAATTGTCTAAAAGTTCATATCTATATGTTTGTATCAATTCGTTATTTTGAGTTTTATCATATTTGTATAATTTCATACTTTAAATTACTCAATGATTGAATAACATGAAAATTATACAAACGTACCCGCGAATTATACAAACAAGATTCGAATTATACAAATTATTGTCCTCTATCACTTGCCTCTCTCCTTCCTCTCCCAATCTCGCTCCCCTTTCTCCTTCATCTCCCAATCTTGCTTGCTTTTCTCCTCTTTCTCTCTCTCTCTCCCAGTCTCGCTCTCTAGATATACAAATACATATGTATATCAGTTACATATATACAATTATCTAACTGATATACATGTACAATTCACCTTTCTGCCCTCTCTGGCTCGCCTCTCTCCTTCCTTTCCTAATTTCGCTTGCCACTCTCCTCCCTATAACATGTAGCTACGAATTATAGTTAACAAGCTATAGCTATGGAGCGTAATTAAGTTATTTTTGAGTGGTTATATGTGAGTTCCCCTAGTATTTACTACTTTACTTCTACATAAATATAGTAAATATTTTTCTCGGTACCTTATTGATTACTGCCTTTGCATTTAGCCTTCAATTCATACTACACAATGACTTTGAGTTCACAATTTCATATTATAAAAAATGTCAAAACCTAAAGTAAGAATCATATTCCTCTTAATTTCTCTTTGTATTGCACTTGAATAGTTCTTTACATGTTGACTATTATTATTTTTATTTTATGAGCGTTGTTTAAGATTATATTATTGCTTTGTCGCATAAAATTGTTGGAGAAGTCGTCCATTTGTTTTAGAAGCATTTTCTTATTAGTTTAATTTAAAATCGAATCCCTAAGGACCAAAATCGATAAACTGATAAAAAAAATATCTTTTTCATTGGTTATTGATTTAGTATATTTAAAAATTGATAACCGAATCGATTGATTCACACCCCATGTTACGTATTATTTTATAATGTGTTGTATTATAGTGTATTGTGTTGATTCACACCCCATGTTACGTATTATCTTATACTCTTGAAACTAAGGTTGTTCCCCCTTTGTATTTCCTTGCCCTTAGATCCCTAACGAATTTGTAGGATGGGTATGTCGTGCTGCTAGATTTGTGCATGATTTATGTGTTTAAATTAAATATGAATGTGTTTATGTGCGGGAAATCACGATAATGATCATTAAAATATGGCCGAAAAAGTTGATGTATGGGCGTGAATAGGACAGTATTTTAGGCAATGTTTTGGGGTGTATAAGTTGTGCATTTATCGTGTATTTTATGTGTGTAATGGATGTACAATATGATACTTATTATGATGAATTATAGTGAATTGAATGAACCATGAAATCTCCCTAAGAACTAATGTGAAAATTGATGAAAAAGTGCAGAAAAATCGTGGAATAAATTTCCAGAACTTAGAAATAGGCTTTAAAAGAATCTGGAAATTTTTGGACGTCAAAGAAATTTTAAAAAAAGTTTTGGAGGCTGCAGGGATCGAACCCAGGACCTCCCTGCAACAGGTTTTAATTAAAAAAAATGGGGCAGGGGGGGATCGAACCCTCGCCCCTGCCTTCCGCGAAAAAAAAACAAAAGAAAAGGAAAAGAAGAGGGGGCTGGGGGGATCGAACTCGCGACCCCCAGCTACGCGCGAAAAAAAAAAGAGAAAAGAAGCGGGGGCCGAGGGAGGGCTCGAGCACGCGACCTGGGGGAGAGGCGAAAGGGAATAAATCAGGAAATTTAAATGAGAGGCGTGAGATTCGAACCCAAGACTCCATGTACACGCGAGGGAAAGAAGAAAATACGAAGAAATAAAATGTGAGGCGTGGGAATCGAACCCACGACCTCAATGACTGTAGCAGTGTACGAAAAAATATGAAAAAAAAGATAGAGGGGCTGTGGGGGTTTGAACCCACCACCTCACAGCCTCCTCTTCAACGAAAAAGAGAGGGAAAATAAGGGGAGTTGTGGGGGTTCGAACCCACAACCTCCCCAATGAGGCGAATGTAATGAATAAATTAAAAAAAAGGGACTTGAATTAGAATTCTAATTAAAATAGAAAATTAATTCTTTCATGTAAATATGGAGATTTAATTTAGAATTATAATTAAAATAGAAAATTAATCTTTTATGTAAACATTAAGATTTAATTTAGAATTCTAATTAAAATAGAAAATTAATTCTTTCATGTAAATATGGAGATTTAATTTAGAATTCTAATTAAAATAGAAAATTTATTATTTTATGAAAATGTTGAGATTTAATTTAGAGTTCTAATGTTATGAATATTAGAAATAAAGTCAATGAAAAATATAAATGATATCCAAATGATTCAAGAGTGCGGCTTCCGTGCCCAAACCTCCGTATTGATACATAAGTCATACGTGAGTAAAATATTCAAGAATAATGTAATCTACTTTGATCAAAAATCAAGATCTTGGTATATATACAAGATACATAAGTCTTGTAATACATAATCTTAGGAAAATAAGAATCACTTAACGAACTATAAATGAAGCCCAATGGCTTATATGTATAGACACATAAGTTTAGCATACGTTCAAAAATAAGTGAACCTAAGATATACGTAATGAAATGAAGAAATGAACATTCACGAAATAAGAGGTGAGTAACTATGAAAAATAAAGGTGCTAATAATGAAGAATGTAGTGACAACATGACGTGAGGCGAATGTATATGATGAGAGCAATGTCAAATGAGCCTAAGTAAATGTTACCAATACGTACTCACCAATGAGAGTGTAAGATAATGAAGAGACCAGTCTCTATAAACACTCTAATGAAAAATATTGAGTTTAAAACACTTAAAACAAATGATGAGATGAGAAATCATCTATTGAGCTATGATGTCCTCATACTAGAAGCCAGCTTCCATGATGTATGAGTTGAATGTAATGGAACTTTATACTGAGCACTGATAGGCTAGCTATGAGCGGTGATGCCTTCTTTCGGGAAGGGCAGAGGTTCACGTAACTCTCATGAGATGAGACTGTCCGGCTTGCCGTTTATGAGTCTCCATACATCTCCTAGTCTTTGAACCTATATTGCCACTATAGGGATCTGGCGGGGTCAAATTCCCATAAACGCTAGCATATTATTGAATCGCTTTGGCCGGTGATTCCACCTCTTTTCGGTGTGGGGGAGACACTGGATTTCATGATGCTCACATGATCTATGTCGCTTAAAGTTAAAGTTCCAATGAATGAATGAGGTCAGCCTCAAATGAATCATATACAGAAATGAATGATACCGAAAGGTGTTAGGATAGGATAATCAAGAGGTGAGCTAGATTCAGGTAATGACATTAGGTCATTCCTGATCATTGCACAGCAAACCCGATGAAAGTCTTAAACTACACCCTAGGTATAGCTGGTGTTCACACTGGCCAATGAATGAACTGAAACAAGGTACGTATGAATGAATGAAGCAGACTCTGTGTTTGCTAAAGAAGGCTCCCTAGTTGAGGTCCCATATGTTGAGCCCTCATTTTGGGAAGTCTTAAGGTTAAGTCATTGATAATAAGGTTTCATGGTATATGAATGAATAATATGAAAGAAACTATGTGTTATATGTTATGTGTTATATAAAGATGTTATGTGTTGTGTGCCATACGATGATTATAATGATGCATGTCACTCTCATGGCATAACTTCCCCAATCTCAATTTAGCAAGTCCACTGACTTGACTTCCAAACATCATGTTGTTAGGAAAGATCTCTTCTTCCTCATGCATGTCCCTGGTGTGTGCTTGCATATACCCATACTTAGTACAAGTGTGTACTAATTCCATACAAACATCTACTTTTAGGTGCAGGCACAGGTGGACGGTAGAGCTACAGGTTCGTTGTTGCAGCAATCCGGACGTCAGCATTCATCCGGAGTTTGGTAGGTCCTCATGCTTTCGAGGATGCTACCGTTTTACGTTCTAGCGTAGTTTTAGAGTTGAGCTAGTGGAGCATGTTCCACTAGCGTTTCTTTCCTGTTTTGGTTCAGACTTTGTATTGGTGCTATTTTGGCCGATATACAATTAATACTTAATGAATTATTTCTTTCAGTTGCTTATCTCTTAAATGTTAGATGGTTGATGATGAACGATTACGAAATATAAAGAATGTTTAACAAGTATGATTAAAGAATAAAAAAAATTTCAAATTTTTCGCTAAAAATTAACCTATGTAAAGCAAGAATGACGTAAGTAGGCTTGTTTGCGACCTATTAGAGGTCAACGACGCCGGTCTCGTCTGGGGTCTAGATTCCAGTCGTGACATAAGAATACAATTTAATTTAATAATATCCATAGATTACAATAGTTTTTTGTTTTTGTTTTTGTTTTTGTTTTTCATCTGATCCAATATTTACGTTGGAGTCTAACTAATTTAAATTACTCGAACGTAAAATTTCTTGTTATAGAAAGAGCAGTTTAAT